CAACCTCACATATATAATCAACTCTCATATTATCTTCGAAGCCCTCTCATTACAATCTTTTGAACAGAGAAAGACCGTGGAACTCTCTCTCAATGATGTAATCTTTTACATGAACAAAAACTACGAAACCCCCGCCTCTCGAACAATATTCCTAAATCAGGCTACACACTCTGCTAACCCTAAATTACAATAATATTGTCTCTCTCTCCTCTGCTTGATTTTCCCTCCAATAATAGAAGAATATATATAGGAAAACCAAAACCCCATCTCCAGCCTAACTTCCTAATTAGAATATGATTCAAACTCCTAATCATGATGAAACTCAATCTTCTAATCATGATAGATCTCTAACCTATCTAATTCTCATAACAAAGAATCAAAGACACAATCCTAACAGCATTCTCTAACTATTTAATTTATAGATTTCCAAGAATATAACACATAAGATACTGAGATAATTTTTTTGTTTTGAGTGGTCTTAAATGGTACATGATAGCGTGCAATTTCAGTGCTGCTAACTTGCACCCTCACTTAATTCTTGATGGAAAAAAAAGAAAAAAGAAAAAATCTTCAATATCAGATTACGAGCTTCAAATTCTTGTTTACTAGCAGCTAAGAATCAATCTGATTCAAGATTTGTTGAAGGTGATGATGATTTTAGTTTCAATGTGATGGGGTCAATGGGTCCAAGAGGAGAAAAGAAGAAGAAATCGATGATGGATATTCTCAGTCCTACAAATTGTCTAGCAGATCCTCATCATCCTTAGGTTACTCCTCAGATGATTGGAGTTCAATCTCGCCATCTCAGTAAGTCTCTAAACTCTTGCAATAGTGCTGCTAGCTCTTCTAGGGTTTCTTGGGTTGATGAGATTGAGTTGGAGGATGTTTCGACTGATTCACCTCTGTCTCAGCACCTTTCTTCTAAATCAACAAAAAATATAGACTCTGATTTAGTGATTTCTGCACCAGTTTTTGATACGATTATTGTTCCATTGAATCATGTTGAGATAATTTCTGATGAGATCTGTTCTGATGATTTGTTACTCCAAAATAATTCAAATAGTGAAAATTCTAACAGTACGAAATCTGTTTTTCCACCATTAGAGCCTACAAATGATAAGCCTATATCGTCTCCTGTAAACAATGCTAAGAGAAGCTGAGTTAGTTTCTTTGCTGATAATAGGAAACTAGGAAATGGCTTGGATTTGACTTATGTGCCATCAGTGGCTAAGGATGCTGTGACATTTGATGATGAAGAGTGGAATGAAGGAGAATCAATATGGAAGTTTTCTCTCATTGATCAGGTTTTGGGTCTTAATATCAAATTCAAAGCTATGAAGACTTTTGTGTAGAAAGTTTGGGCTCATTTAGCTATACCTGAAGTTTGTCTTCTCAAGACTGGTATATTTCTGTTCAAGTTCAAAAATAAAGATGAAGTGAGTGATCTTCTAGAAAATGGACCATGGATTTTTGGTTCTAGACATTTTCTTTTAAAGCCTTGGTCTATTGAAGAGGATATTGATAGAATAAAAGACTGAATTTATCCTATGTGGATATAATTACCAGGATTAAGACAAAACTTGTGGAATACCAAGGGTATTAGCAAATTTGTTAGTGTTATTGAGTGTCCAATTACCACTGACAAACTTACGTCTAACAGGCAAAGGTTAGCGTATGCCAGAGTTCTAGTGGAAGTGAATATGCCTTCCCCTCTTCCTGATTAAATTACAATTTAGGGGTCCAATTGTAAACAGTTTACTCAGAAGGTGAATTATGAGTTGAAGCCTAGATGGTGTGATTTTTGTAATCAAGTGGGTCATGATTCAAAATTTTGTAAGAGACAACCCATGATTTAAAGATGAATCCTTAAACAAAATGTTATTCCTATTAAAGTTGGAAAAGAAAGAAATGCAGGAAATCTGTAGGATATAGTTTCTGGTGTTGTTATTAATAGTTTTGAAAAAAATACCTGCAAGTGAGATACCAAGGCAGAATGTGAACATTGGTAACCGCAGTAGCACAGTTCAGCTACCTATGCATGTTGTGCATAATCATGAGCCTGCTTTTGAGGATAATTTGATTGAGTGGTGTTAGGGGCACACCCCCTACCACACCCCCCTCTCCCATCGCTATAGTAAACCGGGCCCCACATGGGATTTTAAAAATTTTAAAATCCCATGTGGGGCCCGATTTACTATAGCGATGGGAGAGGGGGGTGTGGTTGGTGGTGTGTTAGGGGGTGTGCCCCTAACATTATTTAATTTGATTATTGGTAACTCTAGTAACACAGTTCAGTTGCCTGTGTGTGTTGTACACATTCAGGAGTCAAAAGGTAAAAAGGTAATGCAACAGGAAACAAATACTGGAAATTGCAACGAAAATGTTGAGTGTGGGTCTGTGCATGTTGTGCACGTCCAACAACCTGGATCTGGAGATTCTTTTAACTATGAAGGGTCTTCTCATGCCAATAATTCCTGGACACTTGTTCAAGGTAATAGATCAAAGAAGTATACTTCTACTGTTAATTCATTCTTATCCTTGGATAATATACATTTTGACCCCTCTACAATTGATAGAGGGGGTTTGATTAAATAAATCTATCATTTTGGAATGTTATAGGATTGAATAAATCCTCTAAGCAACTTTTGGTCAAGCATCACTTGTTGCAATATCATATCTCTTTTCTTGCTCTTCTTGAAACAAAAATAAAGGATGAAATGCTACATGCATCTGCCAAGAAAATTGCTAATAATTGAAAATGGCTATCAAATGATGGAAATCCTGGTAAAGCTAGAATTCTAATCATGTGGGATCCTAATATTTTAGATATTCAAGTTGTTAAATTCTCAGATCAGCATATCACATGCACAGTTAAGTCTATGGATAGAAGATTGGATTGTGTTATATCATCAATAAATGGTTACAATCATTTGGAGGCTAGGAAAAAATTTATGGTTAGAACTCAAACATGTTCATCAAAACATTGGAAATACATTATGGCTCCTCTATGGAGATTTTAATGCTTTGATTAGCAATGAAGAAAAGCTTGGTGGAGCTGTGCTATCTGAGGCTGATACTAGAGATATCAACAATTTCATTGAGGATTGTCAGCTCACTCACTTGAAAACTTTAGGATGTTTCTATACTTGGAATAATAAAAAATACTCTGATTCAAGGGTTTGAAATAGACTTGACAGGGCTTTGGTTAATATTTCCTGGATCCATATGTTCAATTCAAGTCATGTTGAGTTTCTTCTCCCAAGCTTCTCAAATCATTCTCCGGCTCTGGTTTCAATCTATGATGATTGTATGCATGGGAAAAAGACTTTCAAAATTTTTAAAATGTGGACTAAACATCTCAGCTTTCTTCCCACAGTCTCTAATATTTGGAAATTAACAATTGGAGGATACACAATGTACTCAGTCTATACTAAACTTAAATTGTTGAGGGGTGCCCTGAAGGATTTAAATAGGAAACATTTCTATAATATCAGTGAACAAATTCAAAGAGCCAGAATTGCGTTAGAAGATGTTCAGAGGAATCTTCAGGCTAACCCTCTTAATCCCATTCTCATCAATCAAGAAAAGGAATGCTTTACTTCTTATAATAACCTTCTGGACTGTGAATTATCCTTTTATCAACAAAAAACTAGAATTGCCTGGAGTTTACAAGGTGATAGGTGCACTAATTTTTTTCATACTGTAGCAAAATCCAACAAGCACAACAATAGAGTGGTCGTTCTCTACAACAATAGAGGGGATAGAATCACTAATGGAGAGGGGATTGTTAATGAACTAATTTCATATTATAAAAATCTTATGGGTACTGCTGTTGTTACAAGTCCTCCAGACATAAACATCATTCAAGTAGGACCTTGTCTGAATGAATCTCAGGCTAGGGATTTAACTAGTTCAGTTACAAATGAGGAAATCAAAGCTGCTATATTCTCTATGTCAGATAATAAGACTCCTGGACCTGATGGATACAGTGTCTCATTCTTTAAATCTGCTTGGGATGTAATTGGGGATGAGGTCACACTGGCTATAGAGGATTTTTCAGAACTAGTAAACTTTTAGGCATGGTAAAATCCACTTCAATTACTCTAATTTCCAAGGTACAATGCCCTAAATTCCCTTCTGATTTCAGACCTATCTCATGCTGTAATTGTCTTTACAAGTTCATCTCAAAAATCCTGTCAAATAGAATTAAGTCTGTAATGAGGTATCTTGTGAATGAAGCACAAAGTGATTTTGTAAAGGGTAGACAGATTTTAAGCAACATCATGCTAGCTTATGAATTTGTTAAAAGCTATAGCAGGAAGCATCTCTCTCCAAGAGTCATGCTAAATATTGACAATAGAAAGGCTTTTGATACAATCAGTTGGAGTTTCCTATCTGACATGCTCTATGGTTTGGGATTTCCTAATGCTATGATTAATTGGATTTTGGCTTGCATTTCCTCTCCAAAGTATTCTATCTCCCTAAATGGATCTCCTCATAGTTATTTCAAGGGTGAACGTAGCCTAAGGCAGAGTGACCCTCTCTCTCCTTATCTATTTATATTGGAGATGAAATATCTCTCAAGGAGTTTGGGGTTATTAAAAAATGATAGGCTCTTCAAAATTCACCCAAAGTGTGGCAATCTCAAGATCACACATCTTATATTTGTAGATGATCTTCTCTTATTTGCTAAGGGTGATCTTTACTATGTGCAAAAATTATACCAATGTGTCAGGGAGTTTAGTGTTACTTCTGGACTTGAGGCTAACCATGATAAATGCTCTAATTTCTATGGGGGTGTTGATGAATTAGTTAAATCCTCCATTAAAAGTTATCTGGGATTCTCAGTAGGAGCCATGCCAATAAGGTACTAGGGTGTTCCTCTTATACTCCAGATCTCACTTGTTGAGGACAAGTTTTCACATTTAGGGGCGGGTCTGTCTGATGGTGCATTTTAGCGGGCGGATCTCCTTGCTAACGTGCACCGCCGCCTGGATTCAATGAGGAAGAAGAAGAAGAGTAGTGGCAAGAGTGTACTCAGTAGTGAGCTCAGGGATTCAATGTTTGTTTTTCCTTCTTCTTCCATCCCTGATGGCGAATCCAATGGAACAGTAGAAGCAGAGGATAGTGAGGGATCTTCCAGCAGGATGATAATGGAGAGTACTGGTCCTAAGGGGGCGAAAAAGAAGCTGCTAATGGATGAGATTCTTGCTAAATCTTGCTCGATCTCTGATCCTCAACAAGTGAGATCTGGAGGTACTCTTTCTAATCTTTGGGCCGATGAGGTCGATGAGGTTTTTGAATCTGAATCTATTAGAAATCTGAATCTAGATGAAGAAATTCCTGAAAATATTGATCAGAATAGATTAGATGATGCAAGTAAGACCACGAATCTGGTAGATCTCACTCAAACACCTACGGATACTGATAATGAGGTGATTGGAAAACCTGTAGTTATCAATACAAATCATGAAAAAACTACTGATGAGCAGGTTACTGAGATTCCAAAAACTTTTGCAAGTCTATTTGCTGATAATAGGAAAAGTGGTAAAGGTTTAAATCTGAGCTATGTTCCTCATTCTCAAATGAATACTGCTATTTTTTCTATGGAGGAATGGATGGAAGGTGAAGGCTATTGGAGATTTGCTTTAGTTGGCCACGTTATTGGATTAAATGTCAGGTTTAAATCTATGGAATCTTATGTCAATAAATTGTGGGGGAGTATATCTATTCCTGAGATTCATCTAATTAAACCTGGTGTTTTTCTCTTTGATTTTCAATCGGAAAAACAAATGTATGATGTTTTGGAAGCTGGTCCATGGTTCTTTGGTTCAAGGCCTCTTGTCCTTAAACCATGGAGTATTGAAACAGATATGGATAGGATTCAGGACTCCTCTTACCCTCTGTGGGTTCAATTTCCTAACTTGCGTCTGAATCTTTGGAGCTCTACTGGGATTAGTAAAGTGGCTAGCCTTATTGGTAAACCCATAACCACAGACAAATTGACTGCTACTAGGAAGAGGATATCTTATGCCAGAGTCTTATTGGAAGTGCAATTGCCTCTAACATCTCCTCTACCTGATCAGATTGTAATCCAAGGGCCAAATGGGAAGTGTCACAATCAAAAAGTTATATATGAATTCAAGCCTAGATGGTGTGATACTTGTAAAGCTATTGGTCACTCTACTGAGCAATGCAGAAAGAAGAATGGTAAAATGAAGTGGATGCCTGTTAATAGAAATGCTAATAGCAATGCTGATGCAAATGCTGGAGTAGCTACTGTTACAACTATTGCTCCCAATATTGGTGATATCCCTGGTGTTTCCAGTATTGAGGTGAATTCTGATACTAATTCTAAAGAGCATGCTGAACCTATTATTGCTCCACATATTCATCAAGATCCTATTATTAAGGAAGGCTCTGGGATTCCTGGGGGTTATGGTGCACGTGCACAAGGAATTGCAAGTGCTCTCTCATCCCCTGTTGTTAATGTAACAGGTTTCTCTAGTGTTGTCAAAGGTAAATCTATAAGAAAATCTGGTGGAGTAACAAATGATAAGGGAACTTCAAAATCAGTGGAGGCTATACCTTTTTTCCAGGTATCACAATTTTCCCCCTTAGATCATCAAGAGCATGATTGGGACCCCTCTAGTATAGATAGGGGTGGATCAAAATTCTAATGCACTTGGCTATTTGGAATGTTAGAGGATTCAATAAATCCTCTAAACACATGATGGTTAAGCAATTCATTTTTCAGTATAAGCTCCCTTTCATAGCTCTTCTAGAAACTAAAATAGCTGGAAATAAACTGCATGCTATTGCAAAAAAAGTGGCTAAAGACTGGTCTTGGATTTCAAATTGTCATCAGGCCAATAATGCTAGAATATGGATTCTTTGGGATAGTGATCTTTTCTCATTACAACTGCTTAACTCCTCAAATCAATTCATGACTTGTGCTGTTAAGTCAAAGGATTGCAAATTATCATGCACTATTACTATTGTATATGCTCTCAATGACAATTCTGGTAGGAAGGCTCTTTGGCATGACATTCTGGCTTTCAAAAATAATGTGACTGGTCCTTGGATTATTGGAGGGGATTTCAACACTATTATCAATAATAGTGAGAAAATTGGTGGTGTTCCAGTATCTGTTTCTGACACAGAAGATTTCCTGGACTTCATTTCTTCTAGTCAACTTGTTCATCTGAAGACAGCTGGGTGTTTCTTTACCTGGTGCAATAGATAAGATCCTGACTCTAGAATATGGTGCAGACTTGATAGAGTCCTAGCTAATGAAGACTGGATTCGAAATTACACCTCAAGTCAAGTTGAATTTTTGACTCCAAATTGCTCAGACCATTCTCCAGAATTAATTACTATTGGAAATGAGGATTATATTGGAAAAAGGCCTTTTAAGTTCTTCAAGATGTGGGCAACTCACCCAGATTTTCTCTCTGCAGTGGCTTCTAGCTGGGATAAAATTGTTATGGGCTACAATATGTACAAATTCCATACCAAACTCAAAAATCTCAAGCCTGTTCTAAAGGAGTTAAATAAGAGAAATTTCATGAATATCAGTGAGCAAGTTTTGAGGGCTAAAAATGATCTTGATGAAGTTCAAAAGCAACTGAGCATTGATCCTTTTAATGCAATGCTGATTTCAAAGGAGAAGGATAGTTTAAATAAATATGTGAAACTGTTAGATCACGAAGCTTCATTCTACAGACAAAAGGCTAATATCAAATGGGGAAAATATGGGGACAAATGTACTCAATTTTTTCACTCTGTTATGAAAGCTAATCGCCATCATAATAGAGTGTTGTCTCTCTATTTGGATAATGGACAAAGAATAACTGATATGACTGCTATTACTGCAAAGTTCATTGAGTATTATGAGCAGCTTCTGGGTACTTCAGTTACTGTCATTCCTCCTGATCCTGAAGTCATTGCAAATGGTCCTTTACTTTCTGCTACTCAAAGAAATGAATTGAGTCTTCCTATAACAAGAGAGGAAATCAAAGCTGCTGTCTTCTCAATGGCTGATGACAGAGCCCCAGGACCTGATGGTTTCAGTGCCTCTTTTTACAAGACAGCTTGGAGCATTATCAATGAAGATCTCTATCTTGCGATTTAGGAATTCTTTTGCTCTGGGAAACTCCTTGGTGCTATTAATTCTACCTCAATAACTTTGATTCCCAAGGTTCTTAATCCCCAAACTCCATCTGATTATCGGCCAATTTCTTGTTGCAACTGTGTATATAAGATCATTACTAAAATCATTGCTGCCAGAATTCAGAGAGTTATGGGTTATCTTATTAGCAGTGCCCAAAGTGCTTTTGTTAAAGGTAGAATTATTTCAAATAATATCCTCCTTGCTCATGAGCTCATCAAACATTATGGAAGGAAGCAAACTTCCCCCAGAGCTGTCCTTAATATTGACCTTCGAAAGGCCTTTGATACTATAAATTGGGATTTCATTGAAGCTATGCTGACAGGTCTGGGCTTTCCAAACATTATGGTGAAATGGATAATGGTATGCATTACTACTCCTAAGTTTTCCATTTCCCTTAATGGCTCTCTCCACGGCTATTTCCAAGGGGCCAGAGGATTGAGACAAGGGGATCCTCTTTCCCCATACTTATTTGTTCTCGGCATGGAATATTTGTCTAGAAAGTTGAATACCCTCAAGCATGATAGGTTGTTCAAATTTCATCCAAAATGCTCAAGATTAAACATCACCCATTTATTCTTTGCTGATGATCTTCTTCTCTTTGGTAGAGCTGATATGAACTCCATTGTCAAACTTCATAACTGTATGAATGAATTCAGTAAAGTTTCTGGTCTGGATATCAATCCAGATAAATGCTCAGTATATCTAAGTGGTATTGATGACAACCTAAAGCTCCAAATATGTTCATTTCTGAATTTCTCTGAAGGTTGCCTACCGGTTAGGTATCTTGGTATGCCTCTTATATCTAAGAGACTTTCTTGGATGGACTGTTCCCCTCTAATCAGCAAAATCTCTGAAAAGTTCCAGCATTGGCAAAATAAAAAGTCCTTATCTTATGCTGGAAGGTTGCAATTGATCAAGTCTGTCATTTTGGGGGTTCATATCTACTGGACAAATAACTATATCTTGCCTAGTAAAGTTCTCAACAAAATTGACAGATTATGTTCTGAATTTTTATGGAATCACAAAATCCCTCTGGTTTCATGGTCAACTATCTGTCAAGAGAAAAAATATGGAGGATTGGGTGTCTTTTCAGCTAGAATCTGGAATCAAGCTGCAGCTCTAAAACTTTTGTGGATGATTCATATCAAAAAGGACCTTTTGTGGATAAAGTGGGTGCACGGGAATTATTTACTAAATGCAGATATCTGGAGTGTACAGGTTAAATCAAATTGCTCCTGGTTGTGGAAGCAGCTTCTAAAAACCAGAGATGTTCTGATTGCTAAACTTGGCAGCATAAATAACCTGATTGCTATTATTGGCAAGTCATGTGTGGGTGATAAAATTCAGGTTTCTTCTGTGTACAGCTTTTTGGTGCAACCTGCACAGCAAGTACACTGGGCTAATACAGTTTGGAATAATATTCATTATCCCAAACATTCTTTCATCCTATGGTTAGCTATTCAATCAAGATTGATTACTCAAGATAGGCTATGTCGGATGGGTATTCTTAATGCAAATCAATGTGTGCTGTGTACAAATTTTCAGGAAACCTGTCACCATCTATTCTTCGAATGCCAATATTCATCCACTGTCTGGAATTTGGTGATGGATTGGATGAAGTTCAGCTGGAAATCATGCATATGGGAGAGTATCATACACTGGTTCAGCCTCAGGCTTAATAAGAGGGGATTTGCGGAAAATTTAAAGAGACTGGCATTTGGAATAACAGTATACTTCATATGGCAAGAGAGGAATCTTAGGATTTTTCAGGGGAAAACTATGCTACCTGAGATGCTGTTCAAAGCTATAAAGATCTCTTTTTTCTTGAAGATTATGAATGAAAAATATCCTGCTCACTTAGAGGAGAGAATTAGAGAGTTATAAGTTGTTGTATATATGCTCCTTGTGTATGCACTATGAGTGCTGAGGTTCTCAGCTATGGCTGATGGTAATTTTATTTACCAAAAAAAAAAAAAAAAAAAAAGATAGCAGGACAATTCCAAAACTAGATGAACCATAGGAATCTCTCTTATACTGGAAGACTACAAGTTATTAAAGGTGTAATCCTTGGCATTCAAATTTACTGGACATTAAACTATATTTTACTATTAATGTTCTGCAGAAAATTAATGAGTTATGTACGAAATTCTTGTGGGGAAAATCAGGCCAAGCTTTCAGGATTCCTCTTGTTTCATGGAAGAGAGTGTGTTTGGGGAAGAAACAAGGTGGCTTGGGGATTTTTCAGCTCTTACTTGGAATGTTGCATCTGCCTTACGAAGTATCTGGTTTATTCATATCAATAAGGAGTCATTGTGGATTAAATGGATCCATGGTACCTACTTAAAATACAGGGACATTTGGCAGGTGAATGCAAAAGTTGGATACTCTTGGATGTGAAAACAACTGATAAAAGTTAGGGATAATGTTTTAGCTTTCTGTGGAGGAGCTGATAATTTGAAACGTTTGATAAGTTCTTGTTACAGGAATGCAAATTTAAAGCTCTCTGCTCTGTATAGTGCTCTCTCTCCTACAACATATAGTGCACCATGGTTTAATACAGTTTGGGAGAGATTAAATGTTCCTAATCACTCCTTTGTTAGCTGGCTGGCAATCCAAGACAGGCTTCTCATGTAGGACATGCTACTTAGGAGGGGGATTATTAAATCAAATTTATGTTGTCTATGTTCTAGTGCAGGTTGGGAGACCAGAAACCATCTGTTCTTTGAATGTGCATTTTCATGCATTGTCTGGAACAACATTATGGAGTGGTTGGAGTTTAATTGGAGATCATGTAACTGAGTTCAGCTCTTGAACTGGTATACTACCAGATTGAGAGGAAACGGGATTCAAACAAAAACTTAAGAGAATGACTTTGTCTACTACAATATACATCATTTGGCGGGAGCGCAATGCTAGGCTTTTTCAGCAGAAAAACAGAAGTGCAAATCACTTGGTTAGAGATATCAAGATTGATATTTTGATTACTATACTCAATAGTCCTTTAACTACAAACAAGGATTGTTTTCTCTCCATGTCTTGAGGATTTTGCCTAGATTTCCTTATAACAATGTTTAGTAATCTTAGATGTTAACAACTGAGCATCTTGATATATATAAACTTTCCTAATTTGGTGAATGAATAAAGTTTTTCATTGACAAAAAAAAGAATATAACACATAAGGTATTAGCTTAACCTTAACATAGAAAGAACTATTGGGTGCCGACTCAACTTCAAGTTGGGTCTGGATTTGAATGATAAGCCACATCCTAGTAGCTTTCTTAAAGGCTAAGTTAATGACTTAGTGGGCAAGTCTTGAGTGTCTTTAAATAAGACATTCTATTCTAAGATTTTTTTTAGTAGAGAGGAAGAGAGATACAATATTCTTGTAATAAGAGTTTAACAAAGAATGTAACTGAATTTAAGGGTATTGTGAGAGAGAGGGTTTTACAGTATTTGTCCGTAGAAAATATTATAATTTGGAGGTGATAGTGGATTGTTTTCGAACCCATGGTTTCCCTCGTTGAGAGGTTTTCACGTTAAATATTATGTGATTTTATTTGTCGCGTTTAGTAATTTTTAGGGTTTTTGCAAGATCAAAAGTCCTAATAAGTGGTATCAAAGAGGGCTTCGACGATTCGTGAAGGTTCGAGTGATGTGCGATTGGTGAAGACATTAGTGATCGAGGTACGATGATCGACATCTGGCAATCGAGAGAGTCAGACATTGTTGGAGGAGGATTTGGCGGGTTTGTAGACAATCATAGTTGAAGTTAAGGTCAAAGGAAAGTTTTCCTTATTAAAGAAGGGGTTAGTTACTGTGAAACTTGTAGCTAGCGAAAAATAGGAAAAAACCAAAAAAAAAAGATTACTGTAGTAGGCGGAACACTATTCGCGTGGGTGAGGGTTTGGTTAAAAATTATTAAATCAAATCTGACGGTGCAGATCGATTTGTCTTTTAATCGGGAAATTAGAGGCGGAATTTGATAATCCGGAAGACATTCCTAGGATTTTTCGATGAGCTGACTTTATTTTTTATATTGGTTCTACCAAATTTAATTAGTTTCTATGATGACTTATTTGAATTTGTTTAGAGGATAATGACATATTTGGGTTCTAATATTTTGATATTTAACGGTAAGATAAATTTTACAATTTGGCAGTGTAAGGTTCAAGATCTTCTTGTGTAGCAGAGTGTTGATCAAGCTTTGGATGAAAGGAAGTCTGAAGGGTCGAAGGATGCTAAATAGAGTTCCATACTAAAGAAGGCTGCTAGTACAATTCATTTGACACTTGCCCCCGAGATCAAGTACAATGTTATGCAGGAGACCACACCGAGGGGGTTGTGGAGCAAGCTTGAGGAGATTTATGCATCAAAGTCTATGATAAACTGATTGTGTTTGAGGATGGAGCTTTATTCATTGAAGATGGAAGAAGGTACTGCTATTTAAGACCAGATCAATACCTTTAATCAGCTAGTGTGTCAACTTATAAATATTAATGAGAAGATTAAAGAAGAAGAGTAGGCGCTACTCTTACCATCTTTCCTACCGAAGTCATACAAACTGTTAGCTCAGATGATAATTGCAAAAAAGTAGACTTTAAATTTTGATGATAAAAACACTCCTATGAGAGAATGAGAGAATGACGGGGAAGGTGAGAGCAGCTAATGATGGTGAAAGTGCACTAGCTTTTGAATGTTTTAATCAAGGGAGGAGTAAGGGGAGATGTAACAATTATTAAGGAAGGTAAAAATCTCGGGCCCGAGATGATAACGAAAGAAAGTGCTACTTTTGTAGAGAGACAGGTCATATTTTGTTCAGATGTTCCTAGATGCGAGATGATTGGAAGAATATTAGACACTTTAAGCTTCAGGATAATGGGAAGAAGGAAGACTCCTTGCCAATTGTGCGTGATGAAGATGTGTTGCTGATGATGGAGAGTATCAATAGTGATGCGAGTAAC